TATATATATATATATATATATATATATATTAAGAGCCAATAATATATTAAGAGCCAATAATAATATTAAGAGCCAAAATCAAAATACCAACAAAATCAAACAAAAAAATCCACAAAATCCAAGTCAAATTCAACTGGAAATCAATTCCCCCATCATGGCCCTTCATCGTGGGCCCTTCATGGCTGCCACGGAGTGCCTGTTGGCCTCTAGTTATTTATACACAAGCGCGCGTGTGTACACATAAACACATAACATATACATAATACATAATAAACACATAACATACATAACACACATAACATAACATAACACACATAACATAACATAACACACATAACCTAACATAACATATATACGTTATAAGGAAGACGTGTGGTGATTTCTGCAGGTGCGTATGTGTGAGTTCTCTGATAGCTCAGCGATCTGGAAGCGAGGTTCCCTGCTCAGGAAGAACGGACATCAGGCTCTGGTCAAGCAGATCTCACCTGTGTAAGATTTCCTCGCAGATGTTCTCATGTGCTGTGCTTGATCGTAGACATTAGATCGTAGATAGTTATCACACATGCATCCCACGTTACGTTATGGAGTTATCTTTGTACTATACTTAATAGTTTATCTTTGGTCTCCGACTTTGGGAATTAGTGATGGCATATATAGTCAGTGCCGTTAAGGGTTGCCATTTCTAATATCACTAGCCCTGTGCTTGCTAGCATGTTCCTATACCCAGAGGGATTCCCTTAGCATTCTTTAGATTGTCTTCGTTCTGCAATAAGTTGCTATAATGGTCACACAGTAGGAACTAATTTTCTCATCATCTCTGTCCGTTCGAAACCCTTTTCTACTTGACCTTACAAAACTCCCTTGCCTAGAATATGTTAATTCTACCTAATTATGCTAGTAAATTTATTAACAAAATCATTACAAAGTTAGTCATGCCTAACTTTTATGTTAAACCTTTCTTTTATGTAATGCGGAAGCTACCTGTGGAGTGATTATAGACGCTGTTGTTGGATATTGTTGCTAGATGGCGCCACGGGTGTGTATGTTTCAGTGAGTTGCTGGTGAAGGTGCAAGGACCGATGCCTGAGAACATCATGTTCCTTGTCCACGAGGTGTTTGAAACGCTCGTCGCAGAGTCGTTCGATGGCGTCAGATATGATTTCTTCATGCCATGTCCCGACTGCCTCAAGGTGAGAGGAGGAGGGAGAGAGGCAGGGAGAAAGAGAGGGAGGGGGAGGGAGGGAGAGGACAGAGGGGCGGGGCGAGAAGGGAAGAAGGGAGCAAGGCAGGATGAGATTGAGGAAGACCGAATAGCGGCAGGAGAGAGAGAAGGAGATGGAGGGAGGAACGAGTCTTTTGACGTAATAAGATGTGATTTCTTCATGTCATGCCCGATTGCTTCGTGACGAGTTGGCGGAGGAAAAGAGGGGGAGAGGAGGGAGGGAGTAAGGTAGGGAGGAGAGCGATTGAGGAGGAGAGAAGAAAATGAAGGAGAAAGGGGTAGGTAAGGGAGGGAGGGAGAGAGGAAGAGAGAATGGTGGAAGAAGATACAGAAGGAGATAAGGAGGTAGGGAGGGAGAAGGGTGTGAGGGAGGGAGAAGGGAGGGAGGAAGGGAGGCGAACCTCTTTCGGACGTCAGGAGTCACATTTCTACATGCCATGCGCCAATGTCTCAAAGTGAGACTGAGGGGGTAGAAAAAGAAAGGAAGAAAGAGACGGAGTAAAAGATGGAAGGAGGAGAGGGAGGAAGGGAGGGTGAAGGAGAAAGGGAGATATTGATGGACGGAGAGAACGATGAAAGTATAGGTGAGAAAGATAAGAATTGGTAGTAGGAAATAGAGGATGAGGTTTCACTCGATCATTGAACAAGATTTCTAAATAAAAAAAACAAATGCTGGCAGAACAGTATACTGACAACACAGACATATTCTATGTGAGTAAAAACATTCTTTACATGTCGTTTTTGGGTTTTTTTGTTCCTCGAATAACACGTCGTGCAGTCTGAAACTGCTTAATTCTCTCTCTGTGGATTTCTCGCAGGTCATTCGAGAGCCCTACATGTTTTCGGCAGCGAAGGTGCGACTGGCGTCCGAACTGAAGGCTCCATTTCTACAGTGTGAGAAGATGTTCCACATAGTCGCGCTGCCCGAACTCAACGGTACGTGTCATCCGTCAGCACCAGCACAATGTCTGCTCCTCTGGAGCCTCACTCCACGTTCCAAGATCATTAATTGGTACCATTACTGTTAAAAATGCATCTTAATTAACATTAAAAATTAAATTCATATCTTAATAAATTAATAAATATAGTTTAATAATAAATCCTAAATTACTTGTCATCATCTTCGCGGTTGCATTGTTTGCATCATCATCTATGCCTTTGGAGCCTCACTCCATGCTCCAAGATCATTGTTACCATTAAATTACAATTAAGAATATATATATCTTAATAAATAATGAATAACAATAAAAATAATTAACAATAATAATGTTAAATAAATTAAGATGAATGAATATTAAAATTATGTCATCATCGTCGTCGTCATTGCAGCGTCCATGCCTCCTGAGCCCCACTCGACCTTGGACGCTCACCTTGAGCGGGCCATCCACGCGCTCAGCGACCTTGAGAAGGTCATGCAGCAGGACGTGTTCTTCGTGTACAGCGCGGCGGACGCGCGGGCGGATGGACGTCGCGTCGTCGACCCCACCGCCATTTTGCGCGACCTCAACGCTGCTGACGTCACGTGGTAATGACGACCGGCGCCCTCTGGCGAGACACAAAAACCAGATTTTGTAGCTTTGCAGTAGTTTGTTTGCTAGCTTTATAGCTTAATGCTGTCGAATGATAAGCTTGTCGAACGTAGACCCACATGGGGGGGGGGTAGCGGCAGTGAATCTGCGTCCTCTAGAGATGGTCCAGGCCTCCTCTACGCATGTGCGTCTAACTTAACTCTTAACCTCAACCGCGATTAACCTTTCAAGAGCTTAACTGGTTCTGATAACTGCAACGATGTCTGATGGTTGAGAGATCTCACTCAGACATATGCTTGCGACCATACGACTCCCTCCCTAATGCTATATTTCACTAATTAAAGTCCCAATTACGAAGAATGCATGCACGTCGTTAAGTGTCGAGTGCTACCTGTAGATTACTACTAGTAGTACTAGTTATAGTACCAGTAGTAGTACTAGTAGTAGTACTAGAGTACTAGTAGTAGTACGTACGAGTAGTACTAGAGTACTAGTAGCACTAGTTGTAGTACTATAGTACTTCTAGTAGATTCAGCTGTGTACTGTCGGTCGCGCAGACGTGGACTAACACTAGCTGTTTTTGCGATGACTTTCAGCATCTGTGCAGCCGATCCAACGAAGATCACTCACCAGGAGAGCTTGCTGTTGAAAGACTCGCAGGTACAGATGTGCTCCTGGCGTGCATGTATCTCTCCCTGGATATTACCTCAAACATGCCCTAGCTAACCCGTATGCCAACTAAACCCTATAACTACCTATCCTACCTCTTTACTATAAATATAAGAAGTTTGAAATTATTATAAACTTAATTAACTTTAACCCTAGTTTTGACCCTAACCTAAACTAAAGTATTCTAGAGTCCCTAGTTTTGTATGCTGTGAGACATAGACTTTAGGACACTTATCAACAACAGCCCATGATCTTCGCTCGAAGCTCTACCACATCGGTGCTGCCATCTGTTGGCAGGTTCTGCTGCTCGGCATCTCGAACGAGTTTGTCGCGGACGAGGGTTGCTGCGACCTCGCCCTGTTCGCCGTCAACAACCTACGCAAGCAGGTGGCGCTAGTGGTGCTCGGCGACGGCTTCGAGTGGAAGCGGTCGGACTTTGCGATGCGCATTACCGAGGGCGACGAGGTACGAGCCAATCACGCATCTTGGTGGGCCCGTCACGCATCCCTCAGTTCACATGTTCATTACATGTTCTAACCATTTGAATTTCAAAGCGAACAGCTAGTTGCTCTTGAAAAAGTTTGACCATATTTTAGATTCGATGATGTTGTGCATTACTACCAGCGCGGTCGATCTTATCTCCTCTCCCACCGTGCTGGACAGACTGCCCACGTTATTATTATCCGTCCTTCACGTGTCCTTCACGTGTCCTTCACGTGTCCTTCACGTGTTCTTCACGTGTCCTTCACGTGTCCTTCACGTGTCCTTCACGTGTCCTTCACGTGTCCTTCACGTGTCGTTCACGTGTCCTTCACATGTACTTCACGTGTCCTTTACATCTCGTATACGTTTCCTTCACGTGTTTACGTGTCCTTCATGTGTGGAATGTATGTGTTACACCAGGTGTACGTTGACATGAGAGACATCTCACGATATGACTACAAGATCCAGGATCTGATACGGGACATGAAGATCAGAACGAGCCAAGAAAAGGTATGATCTCGCAAATCTGGATCGTCGATCTGAGCACTATTCTTTTGTATAGTGATAATTCCCATGCATTAGGCAACCGCCACACAAAAGTACATCTCATTAAGTGGCATAGTGGTTCTAGACTGGTACAAAATTCCTATTGCTTAATTCAAGTTACCGTGTCAAAGAATAGGTACAGGGTCTTGCGATAAACAAGTGAGCATCATCATGTGACTGCGTCAACAATATGTAAACAAACAGATTTCAATCATTGCCTATTTTTGTGGATGTGTTCTAAGACATGTTAGCCTTTCTAAGTCACTTGCTGTTATGTAAGCAATACTGATAAGTATTGTAATGGTTGGAGAAATACGAGAACGGTCGGGAAGAATGTTTGAAATCATTACTTTAAGGTCATGCAAAAGTTCTAAGGCGATATTTCATATGTTATAGGCGCCGACTGATTCCTTTCCAAAGTGCTTCGTCAGCTATTGCTGGGCTAACTCACAGAATGCAGTAGATCTGGGCGCGCGAAATACAGAGGGCGCTATCGGGCACGCGGACCCGCGCCAACTTAAGGAGTATATGGAAGATAACGGAATTCCATGTTGGATAGATGTGGAGAGAGTCGGAAAGGTATGGAAATGTGTGCTTAGCCATATTGGATAGATGTGGAGAGAGTCGGAAAGGTATGGAAATGTGTGCTTAGCCATATTGGATAGATGTGGAGAGAGTCGGAAAGGTATGGAAATGTGTGCTTAGCCATATTGGATAGATGTGGAGAGAGTCGGAAAGGTATGGAAATGAGTGCTTATAGCCATGTTGCATAGATGTGGAAAGAGTCAATCGTATCAAGCAGATAGGTCACTTGTATATAATAAACTATGTACAGTTGTTACAATAACCATGTGTCTTATAAGTTATCGTTCACAACGGGTTAAACTGTATTAATTACATGTTTATTTGTATTTTATTTAGGCTGGGTTATTTGAGGACATTACTGATGGGCTGAAGCATGCAGAGGTAGTAGTGGCATGTGTCTCTGATCAGGTATGTATTCATCTTGCTTCTATGAAATACACCGTCACACATTCACAAACCTCTCCCTCATCTCTTACGTTAAGTAATGGTAATGCTAAAAGGCTAAACGTCTCCCTATGTACTGTCAGAAGGTATCCCTAACTTCAACCCTAATCCTAACCCTAACCCCAATGCCAACCCTAACACTAACGCTAACCCTAACCCCAACTATAATGTTAACCCTAACACTAACCCTAACCCTAACACTAACCCTAACACTAACCCCAACCCAAACACTAACCGTAACCCTAATTCTAGCACAATCCTTATGCTAATTTACCAGTAATCCTATCCTTAACCATAACCATAACCTAACCCTAACCATAAATATACACTAACCCCTAATACCCTACCCATAATAGTAATCTTAACTCAAAGCACATCCAGGAAGACAGAATCACAGAACTTTGCTCACCAAGGACGTGCAGCCCCCCAGGTACAGCCCTACATCTGCTGTGATCGTAAGCTGCCTTCTCTTACAGTACGCTCACTCCGGCATGTGTCTGAAGGAATTCCGCTTCACGGCAATGATGTTGAAGCTGCCGCTCATTATGGCTGTGGTGGGCACCGGCGCGGAGTGGGAGAGAACTGAGGTGAGGCACCACCAACCCTCATCATCATCATCATCATCATCATCATCGTCACCACCACCACCACCCATCCCTCATCATCATCATCATCATCATCATCATCATCATCATCATCATCATCATCATCCTGCTGTCTACGATGTGCTTTATGTGCGCACGTCTGTGAATGTTTGCACGTCTGCTTGTATGTCTGTCTCCTTGTCTGTCTGTTCTTATCCAATCCCATGCCACCCATCTTACCTGATCCCATCCCATCCTATCCCATCCCATGCCATTTTAAAATACCCCTACCCCATAGCACCCTATCCCATCCAACAATATCCCGTACCATTCCAAAAGACCCCCACCACATCACATCCTATTTTGTTATACCCCAGTCCCATCCCATCACAGCCTATGCCACCCCCTCCCATCCATTTGTAGCGCTTGTATGTGGCTACAGGGGCGTGTACAGGGGGGGGTCCAGGGGGTTCGGACCCCCCCCTGCTCGTGCAGAAAACGCATCTAAGGGGGTCTAATTGAAACTTTTTTTGGGGGGAGGGCCCCCCAGACCCCCCCTTCGCGTGCTCGCAAGTTTGGGTTACTGTTATAGACCCCCCCTCCCTGGTACAAATCCTGTACACGCCCCTGGGCTACACGTTCATGTCTCACACACACACGTTCTTTCACCTCTGTCTGTAGATCGGCTTGCTCAGCCTCGGCATTCCCAAGATAGACTTCCGCTACAGCCGAGACTCGGCTGCCCCCGACCTCCTCCTCGGCCTGGTGAGGGAGAAGCTAGCTGAGAGGGACAGACAGAAGCAGCAGGAAGAGGAGGAAGGGAAGAAGGAGGAGAATGAGCAACAGAAGCAGGAGGCAGAGCCGGGACACGACTCCAGCAGGGACCATCAGCAAGCTGCCTTCCAGGTACCGTACAGTGTGGTCCACGAGAGGTTTTAACATGTAAGGGCGACAGGTTTGAGTTTTGAGCCGACAGGTTTGAAAATCGCAGACAGATTTGGATTTCAGGCAGACAGGTTTGAAATATCATGGTAAGAAACAACACAAACAAAGTAAAATGCAACTGTACTGCACTGTCGAACGGGACGTACGCGTAGTCACAGCGCACGCTTGTAGCATACACTATTACAGTCTATTACACTGTTTTACTCTGTGCATGGGCTCCCACTTGCCGGGCAGTCGAGTCTTCTGAGCTGCTTGCTCTGATTCATGCGCGCATGCCTGCACGCGTGCCTGTGCGCGTGTGTGCGTGCGTGCCTGCGTGCGTGCCTGTGTGTGTGCGTGTGTGCCTGCGGTCGTGCCTACGTAGACCCGTATGGTTATAGAACGGTAATACATGGAAAATCGTAATGAAATTCACGCGTTTATTTTTGCGTGCCGGCACACTCGCGTGTCATTCCCGATTGTAGCTTTTTCCTCAATTCCAGGAATGAGTTTTGCTGTCGCTCTCTCATAGTCCAGTGGTGCCCACCCCCTACATTTTAGTAGTGATTAGCACCACGCGACTGAAACAATCGTGCTCCCCCACCCGTACTTCAATTAATGCCGCCCCCAGCCAGCAGGCACGTACGCAGCGTCGATGTGCACAGCCACAGACGCGTGCCTCGCGGGCCGCTGTTTTCGGCGACCTTTGAAAATATAATGTGAGAATGTCGTGCGATAGCGCCCTGGCTCAAAGGATGTTAGGAATATTACACAACTAGAAATTTTTTAGTTGTCCAATCGGGCAACTAGTCAAACGAATAACTTGTCCGACATAGACTTTCATTTGTCCTGAGCCTCATATCAATATAGTTTCACCTTATAGTATATTTATTTGCATGTTTCGCACATTGCTTTATAACATTTTACTGGTTACATTCACACTAGTAGAACAATGAAAAATGACTCTTCACTCATGACTCTTGACTTGATTATTTTGAAATATAGGTAATAAGTTTTGTGAAAAAATGCTCCAAAATAAGGCTCAGATTGCACCAGAGAATCATTAGAATCAATTAGAATTTATAATTCGAGATTACTTAAGTAATTAACTCAGGTAATAAGTAAATAATAATCAACCTAAGTAACAATAATTTATTTAATAATTAGATAGTTACTCATAATAAATAGAACTGTCTGTCAGAGCAAGATAACCACCCCTCTTGAATAACCTTGCTCAAGGTCAGGCTTTCCCAGTTCATGCACATTAATATATTAATTAAATTTGAAAACAAATTTAACCGCCCATTAACAAAAATGTAACATATTAACTAAAATTATTAAGACAATATATTAACATCTTTGCTGAATTTAGTTCTCCTGACTGATCCCGTAGCAACATCGCGCTTTTGAGTCTTAAAGGCTCACAATGCGCATCCAAACGCTAATTTCTCCAGTACTAGACTAGCAAATACTTCGTGTCATGCATAATCACACTACCTTATGACAAAATAAACTCTAGTTGCTCCCATTTCACTGCGCGTTTGCTTAAAACCCACAAGAAAGAGGTGAGAAAACTGGCATTCTGGCGCAAACGCCGACTGTTTGCCAAACAAAATAGCCTCGAAGTGGTGACGTGACGTCACATGTTTTTATCTTTGCTGCGCCCGTACCGCTGTACCGCAGCACCGCTGCACGGTTGCTTGGGGATTGGGGAAACTGTCAACAACATCGGAGAATTTCAACAACATTGGAGGTATTTTCAAAATACCTTTTATAAGACAACGCGCAGTGAAATGGGAGGAACTAGAGTTTATTTTGCCATAAGGTAGTATGATTATGCATGACACGAAGTATTTGCTAGTCTAGTACTGGAGAAATTAGCGTTTGGATGCGCATTGTGAGCCTTTAAGAGAAACACGCGAACATCCCTCGCAGCCATCATAACCTGTGCTGCCATCTGTCTTTGGTCACAGGAACTATACGAGCTGGCACAGCGGAAGCTGCTGAGGGAGCTGACTGGTTACTGCGACGCTGCCAGCGCCCTCTATCCACGCCTCATCGTCGCCGACCTCGTCGACGCTGACGACGAACCACAGCGCCATCTGACGGCGACCGCCACCGACAACGAACCTCAGCGCCCTCTAAAGGTGGCTGCCGGCAGCGGACCGGTCAGAAACAAGAGAGAGGGGTCGGTGGGGAAGGACAGAGAGGAGGATGCGGTTGTGAAACGCGAGAGCGAGAGCGCGGCAAGCAGCGAGAGCCCCATAGGTGGCGCCGGTGAGCTTGCAGGGGCGGGGGAGGTGCGTGGCGAGGGGAGAGACACGGCAGTGAGCGGCGGCGGCACAGTCGAAAAGTCATTTGCCATGAAGACTAAGACACTCAGGCGACAAAAGACGAGAGAGAGGATGGACGGAGATGCCGCTGCGAACAGTCGGAAACCTGCGAAGAAGGGCGAAGAAAGCCGGAATAGGAGAGATCCGGAGAAGGAAGGCACCATCAAGACAAGTAAAAATCCCCCGATTGCGGCGGGAGAGTCCGTATCGACGAAACGCAGAGGAGAGAATTCGCGCAAGGATGAGGACACGAGCCAAGCAGACGAGACAACGATGATTACAACAGCAACAATAACAACAACAGCAGCAGCAGCAGCAACAGCAACAGCAGCAACGACAACAGCAGCAGCAGCAACGACAACAGCAGCAGCAGCAGCGAGAACAGGAGCACCACCACCACCAGCAGCAGCAGCAGCAGCGACAACAGCAGCAGCAGCAACGACAACAGCAGCAGCAGCAGCAGCAGCGACAACAGCAGCAAGCGGCAGTCTAAAGCGCAGGCGGAGTCGCGCGGAGACAAGCGCGCCGACCGTCGTGGGCAGCGACAAGAGAACAGTTCCGAAAAACAAGCAAGGCGAGGAGCGCGATAGACAAAAGAAGGAGGTAACGAGGAGAAGTGAGAGCCTCACAGAGAAGGTTCCGTCGAAATCCACGAGAAAAGCAAAGCCAAAGAAGGAAACCGATGATGACGACACCACGCGAACGGATACCAACCGCCGTGCTCGCGCTGAATCTACCGCCTCCAGGGGGCAGCGCGGGGGCGATGGGACAGGGAAGCGGGCGGCAGGGAGGGAGGAAGAAAGCAGCGGGGAGGCGTCGTCACGGCGACGGCCTGGTACGGCAGCTGCGGCTGGGATGAAGCCAGCCTACGTGTCGACGGCAGGAGCAATGCGGGCGGATAACTTCTGCTTCCGACTGCTCTGTGAGCATGAGCAGGTGAGATCTCTTTCTCTCTCTTCTCTTCTCGCTTCTCTCACTCTCTCTCTCTCTCTCTCTCTCTCTCTCTCTCTCTCTCATGCTGCGGACGTTACAAGAAAGTCGGCCATTCTTAACTAAATTGTAGCAGGGGAATAAATGCGATGGGTAAATTAGCAATGAAGCCGCATCCGGCGATAAAAACCAGTGAAACGGCAAGTATTTAGGATGCCTAAGAGAAAGAATAAGACAACTGTGCGGGCAAAGCAACATGTATAAGAAATTACAAACCGTGTCGCATATTTCTTATCTGAAACGCTGTAAGTCATTGGTTGAATGTCCTGAAATCTGTCGAATTGGTTGAATGCATGTAGTCATATGTTGGCTAATCATTAAGATGTGTAAACGAATATGTTGAAAGGCAGCTGAGAAAAGTTCTGGTTATATGTGAAAGTTCTGTAAGTTAATGTTAACATGCTATTTCACACGACATCGTATTTATGAACAGCCATCACCAATTATTTATTTGCAGGTAAGTATGCAGGAGATGATTGACATGTGTAAGTGAGAGAAGCATGGCCAGGAGATCGTAAACTTTTACCATGAAGGCGGGTGTTTGGATGGACAATCTGTGATGGTTGCAAGCGCGGAATGGGTGCGCTAGGTGCAGAGGTGGACATCCGAAACGCCCCTCACAATGCTGCAGCATACGCTGATGAATACTCACTTAAGAGTGCATTAATAGAGACTTGGGAATCAATCCGTAACGTTCCAAGTAAGCAAGTATTCAGCATTGTCCGTGTGATGGAGGACTAACCGACTAGCTCTCGGCAATTTCTGGAGCTGCTGCCGATCATCCCGTCGCAAGTGGAGGCAAGAACTAAGATGGCCCAACTACATCTGGTCCTATTGGATTTGCGATGAGGGATTAAACTATACTCCATCGGGACACGCGCGAACTTGATAGAAAGGACTACCTAAGTGTTCTGGAGGCTGTCAGCATCTTCCACATGACTGGGATGCAGAACCAAGAGAGAGTCTCTCATGTAAACGTCTCATCGTTAGAGAACCTTTGGCCCTGCGCAGTATGGAAATCTTCTGTCTCAGATGTATTCTATTCTCCTACAATCGCCACATATCCTGTGGTCGCGCTAGGGGTGACGCACACTGGATTTTCCCCAACGCGCTGTGGTTAGCAGCGTTGGAATTTATTTGTTTGGGATCATATTTTCGCACTACCGCGAAGTGTAGGACGGTGATGCAGTAGCGGGAAAACGCTAGAGTGGAAATGAAACGCGAATGTCTTTAGAATAGTATTTATATTCAACTGATAGATGTTAATTACATAAATCTATACGGGCAGTGCTCGAAATTACAGAAAAAAAAATAAGAGAAAAGCGCCAGGCATCAAAATGAGGTTGTCCGCAGTGGAACAATTTCTGGTTGTACTCTGGACCCAAAACTTAGAGATGTTTACATGGAGTACGTATTTACTCCTATTCAGACTATTTGTTTATGTCATCGTACTACTGTGATTTCTTCCCTCATTCTTTGCCTGTGCAGTGTCGCCGTCTTCCCCCAAGTCCCGCTCTCATCTAACAGTAGGCCCTATGAATTCACAAAACCGCTATTGAGCCTAGAATCGATTCAATAGCTCATTTATTGTTTATCGTATATTTTTACATAATTGAAGCTAGAGCTTCACCCATAGCGCATATATAGTTAAATGACATCGTCGTGCTATCGATCGGTTGGAATAATTTCAAAGTGCGTATGTCTAAATATCTTACTACAGTACCTGTAGTTTATAGCGGTTTTGGCACGCCCTGACGTGCTTCTCTCTCGCAAGATCTCAGTAGAAAGAGAGAGAGAGAGAGAGAGACGTGTTACCTGTTCGTTGGTTTGTCTGTTTCCAATTTCTCAGTTACGACAGCAGACACATGACAAGTAGCGTAAGTTATAAGTTCTAGCATATAGATATATTATATGCATCATCATGTATTTATAAATATATGAAATTAATATATATGTATATGTCTATTGAATACTGAAGCTGATCCAGTTAAAGACA